CTCCTCAGTCAACATGTACTGTCTGATGGTCTAGTCTCAATCAACATGTACTGTCTGATGGTCTAGTCTCCTCAGTCAACATGTACTGTCTGATGGTCTAGTCTCCTCAGTCAGCATGTACTGTCTGATGGTCTCAGTCAACATGTACTGTCTGATGGTCTAGTCTCCTCAGTCAGCATGTCCTGTCTGATGGTCTAGTCTCCTCAGTCAGCATGTACTGTCTGATGGTCTAATCTCAGTCAGCATGTACTGTCTGATGGTCTAGTCTCAGTCAACATGTACTGTCTGATGGTCTAGTCTCCTCAGTCAGCATGTACTGTCTGATGGTCTAGTCTCCTCAGTCAGCATGTACTGTCTGATGGTCTAATCTCAGTCAGCATGTACTGTCTGATGGTCTAGTCTCCTCAGTCAGCATGTACTGTCTGATGGTCTAGTCTCCTCAGTCAACAAGTACTGTCTGATGGTCTAGTCTCCTCAGTCAACATGTACTGTCTGATGGTCTCAGTCAACATGTACTGTCTGATGGTCTAGTCTCCTCAGTCAGCATGTACTGTCTGATGGTCTAGTCTCCTCAGTCAACATGTACTGTCTGATGGTCTAGTCTCAGTCAACATGTACTGTCTGATGGTCTAGTCTCCTCAGTCAACATGTACTGTCTGATGGTCTAGTCTCAGTCAACATGTATTGTCTGATGGTCTAGTCTCAGTCAACATGTACTGTCTGATGGTCTAGTCTCAGTCAACATGTACTGTCTGATGGTCTAGTCTCCTCAGTCAACATGTACTGTCTGATGGTCTAGTCTCAGTTAACATGTACTGTCTGATGGTCTAGTCTCAGTCAGCATGTACTGTCTGATGGTCTAGTCTCCTCAGTCAGCATGTACTGTCTGATGGTCTAGTCTCCTCAGTCAACATGTACTGTCTGATGGTCTAGTCTCAGTCAACATGTACTGTCTGATGGTCTAGTCTCCTCAGTCAGCATGTACTGTCTGATGGTCTAGTCTCCTCAGTCAACATGTACTGTCTGATGGTCTAGTCTCCTCAGTCAGCATGTACTGTCTGATGGTCTAGTCTCCTCAGTCAACATGTACTGTCTGATGGTCTAATCTCAGTCAGCATGTACTGTCTGATGGTCTAGTCTCCTCAGTCAGCATGTACTGTCTGATGGTCTAGTCTCCTCAGTCAACATGTACTGTCTGATGGTCTAGTCTCCTCAGTCAACATGTACTGTCTGATGGTCTAGTCTCCTCAGTCAGCATGTACTGTCTGATGGTCTAGTCTCCTCAGTCAGCATGTACTGTCTGATGGTCTAGTCTCCTCAGTCAGCATGTACTGTCTGATGGTCTAATCTCAGTCAACATGTACTGTCTGATGGTCTAGTCTCAGTCAACATGTACTGTCTGATGGTCTAGTCTCAGTCAGCATGTACTGTCTGATGGTCTAGTCTCCTCAGTCAGCATGTACTGTCTGATGGTCTAGTCTCCTCAGTCAACATGTACTGTCTGATGGTCTAGTCTCCTCAGTCAGCATGTACTGTCTGATGGTCTAGTCTCAGTCAACATGTACTGTCTGATGGTCTAGTCTCCTCAGTCAACATGTACTGTCTGATGGTCGAGTCTCCTCAGTCAACATGTACTGTCTGATGGTCTAGTCTCCTCAGTCAGCATGTACTGTCTGATGGTCTAGTCTCCTCAGTCAGCATGTACTGTCTGATGGTCTAGTCTCCTCAGTCAACATGTACTGTCTGATGGTCTAGTCTCCTCAGTCAGCATGTACTGTCTGATGGTCTAGTCTCCTCAGTCAGCATGTACTGTCTGATGGTCTAATCTCCTCAGTCAGCATGTACTGTCTGATGGTCTAGTCTCCTCAGTCAGCATGTACTGTCTGATGGTCTAATCTCAGTCAGCATGTACTGTCTGATGGTCTAGTCTCCTCAGTCAGCATGTACTGTCTGATGGTCTAGTCTCCTCAGTCAACAAGTACTGTCTGATGGTCTAGTCTCCTCAGTCAACATGTACTGTCTGATGGTCTCAGTCAACATGTACTGTCTGATGGTCTAGTCTCCTCAGTCAGCATGTACTGTCTGATGGTCCAGTCTCCTCAGTCAACATGTACTGTCTGATGGTCTAGTCTCAGTCAACATGTACTGTCTGATGGTCTAGTCTCCTCAGTCAACATGTACTGTCTGATGGTCTAGTCTCAGTCAACATGTATTGTCTGATGGTCTAGTCTCAGTCAACATGTACTGTCTGATGGTCTAGTCTCAGTCAACATGTACTGTCTGATGGTCTAGTCTCCTCAGTCAACATGTACTGTCTGATGGTCTAGTCTCAGTCAACATGTACTGTCTGATGGTCTAGTCTCAGTCAGCATGTACTGTCTGATGGTCTAGTCTCCTCAGTCAGCATGTACTGTCTGATGGTCTAGTCTCCTCAGTCAACATGTACTGTCTGATGGTCTAGTCTCAGTCAACATGTACTGTCTGATGGTCTAGTCTCCTCAGTCAGCATGTACTGTCTGATGGTCTAGTCTCCTCAGTCAACATGTACTGTCTGATGGTCTAGTCTCAGTCAACATGTACTGTCTGATGGTCTAGTCTCCTCAGTCAGCATGTACTGTCTGATGGTCTAGTCTCCTCAGTCAACATGTACTGTCTGATGGTCTAGTCTCCTCAGTCAGCATGTACTGTCTGATGGTCTAGTCTCCTCAGTCAACATGTACTGTCTGATGGTCTAATCTCAGTCAGCATGTACTGTCTGATGGTCTAGTCTCCTCAGTCAGCATGTACTGTCTGATGGTCTAGTCTCCTCAGTCAACATGTACTGTCTGATGGTCTAGTCTCCTCAGTCAACATGTACTGTCTGATGGTCTAGTCTCCTCAGTCAGCATGTACTGTCTGATGGTCTAGTCTCCTCAGTCAGCATGTACTGTCTGATGGTCTAATCTCAGTCAACATGTACTGTCTGATGGTCTAGTCTCAGTCAACATGTACTGTCTGATGGTCTAGTCTCAGTCAGCATGTACTGTCTGATGGTCTAGTCTCCTCAGTCAGCATGTACTGTCTGATGGTCTAGTCTCCTCAGTCAACATGTACTGTCTGATGGTCTAGTCTCCTCAGTCAGCATGTACTGTCTGATGGTCTAGTCTCAGTCAACATGTACTGTCTGATGGTCTAGTCTCCTCAGTCAACATGTACTGTCTGATGGTCTAGTCTCCTCAGTCAACATGTACTGTCTGATGGTCTAGTCTCCTCAGTCAGCATGTACTGTCTGATGGTCTAGTCTCCTCAGTCAGCATGTACTGTCTGATGGTCTAGTCTCCTCAGTCAACATGTACTGTCTGATGGTCTAGTCTCCTCAGTCAGCATGTACTGTCTGATGGTCTAGTCTCCTCAGTCAGCATGTACTGTCTGATGGTCTAATCTCCTCAGTCAGCATGTACTGTCTGATGGTCTAGTCTCCTCAGTCAACATGTACTGTCTGATGGTCTAGTCTCCTCAGTCAGCATGTACTGTCTGATGGTCTAGTCTCCTCAGTCAGCATGTACTGTCTGATGGTCTAATCTCCTCAGTCAGCATGTACTGTCTGATGGTCTAGTCTCCTCAGTCAACATGTACTGTCTGATGGTCTAGTCTCCTCAGTCAACATGTACTGTCTGATGGTCTAGTCTCCTCAGTCAGCATGTACTGTCTGATGGTCTAGTTTCCTCAGTCAGCATGTACTGTCTGATGGTCTAGTCTCCTCAGTCAGCATGTACTGTCTGATGGTCTAGTCTCCTCAGTCATGTACTGTCTGATGGTCTAATCTCAGTCAGCATGTACTGTCTGATGGTCTAGTCTCCTCAGTCAGCATGTACTGTCTGATGGTCTAGTCTCCTCAGTCAGCATGTACTGTCTGATGGTCTAGTCTCCTCAGTCAACATGTACTGTCTGATGGTCTAGTCTCCTCAGTCAGCATGTACTGTCTGATGGTCTAGTCTCCTCAGTCAGCATGTACTGTCTGATGGTCTAGTCTCCTCAGTCAACATGTACTGTCTGATGGTCTAGTCTTCTGTCTGATGGTCTAGTCTCAGTCAACATGTTACACAAGTCTAACTTTAACCCTTTTTATTTTAATTTAATTATTAAAGTTTATAGTGGTTTAATTAAAGTACCAGTTCATAGTAGCCTCACTAAATTATCAGTCTATAGTAGCCTCACTAAATTATTAGTCTATAGTAGTTTCACTAAATTATCAGTCTATAGTAGCCTCACTAAACTATCAGTCTATAGTAGTCTCACTTAATTATCAGTCTATAGTAGTCTCACTAAATTATCAGTCTATAGTAGCCTCACTAAATTATCAGTCTATAGTAGTCTCACATAATTATTAGTCTATAGTAGTCTCACTAAATTATCATTCTATAGTAGTCTCACTAAATTATCAGTCTAAAGTAGTCTCACTAAATTATTAGTCTATAGTAGTCTCACTAAGTTATCAGTCTATAGTAGTCTCACTAAATTATCATTCTATAGTAGTCTCACTAAATTATCAGTCTAAAGTAGTCTCACTAAATTATTAGTCTATAGTAGTCTCACTAAGTTATCAGTCTATAGTAGTCTCACTAAATTATCAGTCTATAGTAGTCTCACTAAATTATCAGTCTATAGTAGTCTCACTAAGTTATCAGTCTATAGTAGTCTCACTAAGTTATCAGTCTATAGTAGTCTCACTAAGTTATCAGTCTATAGTAGTCTCACTAAGTTATCAGTCTATAGTAGTCTCACTAAGTTATCAGTCTATAGTAGTCTCACTAAATTATCAGTCTATAGTAGTCTCACTAAATTATCAGTCTATAGTAGTCTCACTAAATTATCAGTCTATAGTAGCCTCACATTTACTTAAGTGTCTACCCAGTACACAGCGAGGCATATTATTTTATCCTTCATGAAGTACAACATTAATCTACTTTAACCGTGAACTGATTAAGATTTGGACAATGTATCTAAACATGTACACTTACCTCCCCCCACGCTACATTTGGTGGTAAAGGTGGAAACTTGTCATAAACATCAAAGGCAACATTGTCCATGAACCAGCGGAAACTTTTGCAATTTTTTTCTCTCTTCATTTTCACCTGTTGGCTGACATCCCCAAATGGTGCCCCACGTAACCATGGCTCCCGTGTGTAGAAATATTCTTTGAATTCATCCTCCATCCACACCTCCACCACCCGCAGGTAGTTCTGGTCAGACAAAAATAGAACATGTCGTAACAGTTGTCTACCTTCTTTGGCTACTCTTGGTAAGTTAAGCTCTTATAGCATAAACTATCAGCTAATGACTCACAGCATCCTTAACTCAATGCCATAGTAAGTTAAGCTGTTACAGCATAAACTATCAGCTAATGACTCACAGCATCCTTAGCTCAATGCCATAGTAAGTTAAGCTCTTACAGCATAAACTATCAGCTAATGACTCACAGCATCCTTAACTCAATGCCATAGTAAGTTAAGCTGTTACAGCATAAACTATCAGCTAATGACTCACAGCATCCTTAACTCAATGCCATAGTAAGTTAAGCTGTTACAGCATACACTATCAGCTAATGACTCACAGCATATGAGTGTGGAACTTTGGGTTCTGGCTGACGTTTCTTAGGTGCCCCTCCAGTTCTGGGTCCCCTGTAGATGTGCCCCACACGTGAGCAGGGAACCCACTCTGAGCTCCCACCACACATCCAGACCTGCAGGTAGAACAACAGGCTGTTACATCACTGGGAACATCAGACATTTCACTGGGAACATCAGACATTTCACTGGGAACATCAGGCATTTCACAGGGAACATCAGACATTTTACTGGGAACATCAGACATTTCACTGGGAACATCAGACATTTCACTGGGAACATCAGGCATTTCACTGGGAACATCAGACATTTCACTGGGAACATCAGACATTTCACTGGCAACATCAGGCATTTCACTGGGAACATCAGACATTTTACTGGGAACATCAGACATTTTACTGGGAACATCAGACATTTCACTGGGAACATCAGGCATTTCACTGGGAACATCAGACATTTCACTGGGAACATCAGACATTTTACTGGGAACATCAGACATTTCACTGGGAACATCAGGCATTTCACTGGGAACATCAGACATTTCACTGGGAACATCAGACATTTTACTGGGAACATCAGACATTTCACTGGGAACATCAGGCATTTCACTGGGAACATCAGACATTTCACTGGGAACATCAGACATTTTACTGGGAACATCAGGCATTTTACTGGGAACATCAGGCATTTCACTGGCAACATCAGACATTTTACTGGGAACATCAGGCATTTTACTGGGAACATCAGGCATTTCACTGGGAACATCAGATGTTTCACTGGGAACATCAGGCATTTCACTGGCAACATCAGACATTTCACTGGGAACATCAGGCATTTCACTGGGAACATCAGACATTTCACTGGGAACATCAGACATTTCACTTGGAACATCAGGCATTTCACAGGGAACATCAGACATTTCACTGGGAACATTAGACATTTGTGATTTCACTGGGAACATCAGACATTTCAAACATCAGACATTTCACTGGGAACATCAGACATTTCACTGGGAACATCAGACATTTCACTAGGAACATCAGACAACAACATAAAAAATTTATCTTGTGAAATTGGGAGTAAAACAACATTAAAAAATTTACTTTATGAAATTGCCAGTAAAACAACAACATAAAAAAATTGACCTTAAAAGCAAGTTCATAGTTTTCTCCACCCCAAATCTTCAGACCAGGGTCATAAGCTCCGAGCTCAAAGAAATAAGCTCTGTCCATGGCCAGCAGACCTCCAGCATGAGTAGGGGAGCTAAAACAAAACATTTTTTTTACTTAACCACTTTTGTTTTAATTAGAAAGTAAAATTCATTCATGTACAATTTTTTGCTTGGTACAGTCCAGTGCACCCACGGTCGTCCAACTATGTATAGTACGTTTATTTACATGTAGCTGAATTTTTTTAGCATTTAAATAAATTTTGTGTTTTGTTTACATTTTTCTGGGATTGGTGTTATTTTTATTAATTATTAGTAAATTATTCAGCTATTTAACCTCATGCATAATAAACTTGGACCCATTTGCGTAAATAGTGCTTTTTATGTTATTTTTTTTAACATAAGTGCTTATTTTTTTTTATTATTTTTAAAAAGTGACAGGGTTGAAAAATGCATCATCTTTTTGCCGGCCATAGGGGAAGTAAAATAAGTTTGATGCCCAGGCTGGTAAATGGTTAAAGTAACATCTATTTTATTATTATGTATAAACATCGGCCATAGGGGAAGTAAAATAAGTTTGCTGCCCAGGTTGGTAAATGGTTAAAGTAACATCTATTTTATTATTATGTATAAACAATCACAAGCACTGCTGCTGAAAGTCTTTTGTGTATCTTGGAGACTACTTTCATGACCCATTGCAAGATGACTTAGGTATGACTGGAGCTACATGACTTAGGTATGACTGGAGCTACATGACTTAGGTATGACTGGAGCTACATTACTTAGACAGGTATGACTGGAGCTACATGACTTAGGTATGACTGGAGCTACATTACTTAGACAGGTATGACTGGAGCTACATTACTTAGACAGGTATGACTGGAGCTACATGACTTAGGTATGACTGGAGCTACATGATTTAGGTATGACTAGAGCTACATGACTTAGGTATGACAGGAGCTACATGACTTAGGTATGACTGGAGCTACATGACTTAGGTATGACTGGAGCTACATTACTTAGACAGGTATGACTGGAGCTACATTACTTAGGTATGACTGGAGCTACATGACTTAAGTATGAGAGGAGCTACATGACTTAGATGAGACTGGAGCTACATGACTTACGCATAGGGCTCACTGGGGTGTGCCCTCTGGTTCAACACCCTCTCAGGTACTAGCCCTTCCTTGTAGAGAAAGCCCCACTCAAAGATTCCTCTGTGGTGATGGTTGTCATAGACAGGGTAGTAAGCCATTGTATCCCAGTTGATGCCGTCCACAATAGGAACTGCCAGAATTGTTCTACATACGGTGGTTGATCAACAAGAAATTATGAGCCATGTGACATTTTAAGACAGAAATTACAAGCCATTCTGGGTGACATTTTAAGACAGAAATTATGAGCCATGTGACATTTTAAGATAGAAATTACAAGCCATTCTGGGTGACATTTTAAGACAGAAATTACAAGCCATTCTGGGTGACATTTTAAGACAGAAATTACAAGCCATTCTGGGTGACATTTTAAGACAGAAATTACAAGCCATTCTGGGTGACATTTTAAGACAGAAATTACAAGCCATTCTGGGTGACATTTTAAGACAGAAATTACAAGCCATTCTGGGTGACATTTTAAGACAGAAATTACAAGCCATTCTGGGTGACATTTTAAGACAGAAATTACAAGCCATTCTGGGTGACATTTTAAGACAGAAATTACAAGCCATTCTGGGTGACATTTTAAGACAGAAATTACAAGCCATTCTGGGTGACATTTTAAGACAGAAATTACAAGCCATTCTGGGTGACATTTTAAGACAAAAATTACAAGCCATTCTGGGTGACATTTTAAGACAGAAATCAAATATTGTTAAGTGCTATCCCTCACCTGTCATATTTAATCCTGGCTAGGAGGGGAGGTAACCAATTTTTATTACACTCACAATGAGCATCTAAGAAAACGATCACCTCCCCTGTGGAGTGTTCAGCACCTTTGGTTCTAGCTGTGATCAGACCAAGACGTTCAGGATTTCTAAACAACTTGACCAAGCCATTGAACTGTTGGATATAAGCTTCCAGCTTGGCTTGCAAGAAATCTAGTCAAAAAAAAAAAGTTATTTAACGTAAACGAACACACAATCTTATATATAGAGGAAATCTTGCTCTGTATGTTTGTGGAAAAAAACTCTTGATCCTCAGTGTGTAATATCTTTATAAGTATTATATACTGCTTAATAAGCACACAATTCACTGTCCTTTACAGATAGGTTTTACACATTAGCCGGTGCAGGGCCTTGCCAGGACAGCTAGTTTAATATAAAGTATTAAAGCAAAATATAGTTTTTAACAATGTAAAATTCAGAGAAAAAACAAGTAAAATACAAACATATAAAATGGTAAGTAAAATGTGTATAAGAATGGTTATTAAAATTGCCAAAGATATTACCATAATCGCTACCATCATCTATGAGGACCACTTCTTTCAGAAGCCGTGGAGGTGTGGTGTGTATAACACTGTGCACTGTGCGAATCAGTGTAGACCAGCCTTCATTGAAAAACACTAAAATAACACTGGCTGTAGGCAGCTCTTCAGGGTAATGCCAGTACTTGCATCTAGAACAAAACAGGTCAATACAGGGTCATAACAGTAATCTAGAACAAAACAGCCCAATGTAGGCTACTGGGATCTAGAACAAAACAGGTCAATGTAGGCTAATGGCAGTATGTAGTGTAGTGACAACAGTAAGTGTTGGCATCACAGCATTGGTAGTTGTATTACATCAGAAAGTAGAAACTAAAAGTTACAAGTAGAAAGTCTAAAGTTACAAGTAGAAAGTCTAAAAGCTGCAAATAGAAAGTCTAAAGTTACAAGTAGAAAGTCTAAAAGCTGCAAATAGAAAGTCTAAAGTTACAAGTAGAAAGTCTAAAGTTACAAGTAGAAAGTCTAAAAGCTGCAAATAGAAAGTCTAAAGTTACAAGTAGAAAGTCTAAAGTTACAAGTAGAAAATCTAAAAGCTGCAAATAGAAAGTCTAAAGTTACAAGTAGAAAGTCTAAAGTTACAAGTAGAAAGTCTAAAGTTACAAGTAGAAAGTCTAAAAGCTGCAAATAGAAAGTCTAAAGTTACAAGTAGAAAGTCTTAAAGCTGCAAATAGAAAGTCTAAAGTTACAAATAGAAAGTCTAAAGTTACAAATAGAAAGTCTAAAGTTACAAGTAGAAAGTCTAAAGTTACAAGTAGAAAGTCTAAAGTTACAAGTAGAAAGTCTAAAAGCTGCAAATAGAAAGTCTAAAGTTACAAGTAGAAAGTCTAAAGTTACAAGTAGAAAGTCTAAAAACTGCAAATAGAAAGTCTAAAGTTACAAGTAGAAAGTCTAAAAGCTGCAAATAGAAAGTCTAAAGTTACAAGTAGAAAGTCTAAAGTTACAAGTAGAAAGTCTAAAACCTACTCAGGCATGCGAGTGTCAGGGATGGTCCTGTTCATGGCCACCTTGTCACTGGCCACCATGTTGAAACCATACTCTCTCACCTGCCGGTCAGCTTCTGTCTTCTCCTCCAGACTGACCACCACAGGCTTGCCTTCCTCACCTGTACGGGGTGGGAGAGGAAATCAATGTGAAAACTGACCTGGTTCTTAGTGGTAGAAGTAATATATGTGAAAACTGACCAGTGGGAGAGGAAATAAATGTGAAAACTGACCAGGTCTATAGTGGTAGAAGAAATAATGTGAAAACTGACCAGTGGGAGAGGAAATAAATGTGAAAACTGACCAGTGGTAGAAGAAATAAATGTGAAAACTGACCAGTGTTAGAAGAAATAAACATGAGAACTGACCAGGTCCATAGTGGTAGAAGAAATAAATGTGAAAACTGACCAGGTCTATAGTGGGAGAGGAAATAAATGTGAAAACTTACCAGTGGTAGAAGAAATAAATGTGAAAACTGACCAGTGATAGAAGAAATAAATGTGAAAACTGACCTGGTTCTTAGTGGTAGAAGAAATAAATGTGAAAACTGATCTGGTTCTTAGTGGTAAAAGAAATAAATGTGAAAACTGACCAGTGATAGAAGAAATAAATGTGAAAACTGACCGGGTCCATAGTGGGAGGGGAAATAAATGTGAAAACTGACCAGGTCCATAGTGGTAGAAGAAATAAACGTGAAAACTGACCAGGTCCATAGTGGTAGAAGAAATAAACGTGAAAACTGACCAGTGGTAGAAGAAATCAATGTGAAAACTGACCAGTGGTAGAAGAAATAAATGTGAAAACTGACCTGGTCCATATTGTTTTATTTCTGGAGGTTCATAATTGCCCAAGACATTGTCCTTAAAGACAGCAGCAGGGCCATACTCCTTCTTAGGAAATGGGTTCTCATCATTGTTCTCCCTTTTGACTGGCGGCTGCATGTTGTCAGCAAATGGGTTCAGTTGCAGGTTCCAGTTCTGGAGGCCAGGGGGTGGCAACACATCCTGGACAGTGACAAGACATTCTCTAGGTAACAACAGGGCGGCTGGGCAAACAGTCAGCACTAGTCATGTTAAACCAATGTCAGCACTAGTGATGTTAAACCAATGTCAGCACTAGTGATGTTAAACCAATGTCAGCACTAGTGATGTTAAACCAATGTCAGCACTAGTGATGTTAAACCAATGTCAACACTAGTGATGTTAAACCAATGTCAGCACTAGTGATGTTAAACCAATGTCAGCACTAGTGATGTTAAACCAATGTCAGCACTAGTGATGTTAAACCAATGTCAGCACTAGTGATGTTAAACCAATGTCAGCACTAGTGATGTTAAACCAATGTCAGCACTAGTCATGTTAAACCAATGTCAACACTAGTGATGTTAAACCAATGTCAGCACTAGTGATGTTAAACCAATGTCTGCACTAGTGATGTTAAACCAATGTCAGCACTAGTGATGTTAAACCAATGTCAGCACTAGTGATGTTAAACCAATGTCAGCACTAGTGATGTTAAACCAATGTCAACACTAGTGATGTTAAACCAATGTCAGCACTAGTGATGTTAAACCAATGTCAGCACTAGTGATGTTAAACCAATGTCAGCACTAGTGATGTTAAACCAATGTCAGCACTAGTGATGTTAAACCAATGTCAGCACTAGTGATGTTAAACCAATGTCAGCACTAGTGATGTTAAACCAATGTCAGCACTAGTGATGTTAAACCAATGTCAACACTAGTGATGTTAAACCAACGTCAGCACTAGTGACGTTAAACCAACGTCAGCACTAGTGATGTTAAACCAATGTCAGCACTAGTGATGTTAAACCAATGTCAGCACTAGTGATGTTAAACCAATGTCAACACTAGTGATGTTAAACCAATGTCAGCACTAGTGATGTTAAACCAATGTCAACACTAGTGATGTTAAACCAATGTCAGCACTAGTGATGTTAAACCAATGTCTGCACTAGTGATGTTAAACCAATGTCAGCACTAGTGATGTTAAACCAATGTCAGCACTAGTGATGTTAAACCAATGTCAACACTAGTGATGTTAAACCAATGTCAACACTAGTGATGTTAAACCAATGTCAGCACTAGTGATGTTAAACCAATGTCAGCACTAGTGATGTTAAACCAATGTCAGCACTAGTGATGTTAAACCAATGTCAGCACTAGTGATGTTAAACCAATGTCAGCACTAGTGATGTTAAACCAATGTCAGCACTAGTGATGTTAAACCAATGTCAGCACTAGTGATGTTAAACCAATGTCAACACTAGTGATGTTAAACCAATGTCAGCACTAGTGATGTTAAACCAATGTCAGCACTAGTGATGTTAAACCAATGTCAGCACTAGTGATGTTAAACCAATGTCAGCACTAGTGATGTTAAACCAATGTCAGCACTAGTGATGTTAAACCAATGTCAGCACTAGTGATGTTAAACCAATGTCAGCACTAGTGATGTTAAACCAATGTCAGCACTAGTGATGTTAAACCAATGTCAGCACTAGTGACATTAAACCAATGTCAGCACTAGTGATGTTAAACCAATGTCAGCACTAGTGATGTTAAACCAACTCTATACATGATTCTATAAATGCTGACTGATCAACTCACTGCAATCTTCTCCATGTGTGGGTTCATCTTTTTCTCAGGGCCAGCCACCATCTTGGTTATGATGATGACAAGACAGAGCAGACATGACGCAGCAATCCCCAACTTGACAATCTGTTTCAGTTTCAGCTGTACCACCCTCATTGTGCCACTGTACTAGTGGGACGACACAGCACAGGTGGGAGGGGGGCCTAACGAAAGAAAGAAAATCATACATCTACCTCTCATCTACAACACAAACTGTCATTTGTCATTACACAAACTGTCATTTGTCATTACACAAACTGTCATTTGTCATTACACAGCACAAATTGTCTTACGCAACTCATAACACAACACAAACTGTCATTACACAACTTAAATTGTCATTACACAACACAAATTGTCATTACACAACACAAACTCTGTTTACCTTTCTAATCTATAGATAACACAATTTTTTTTTACAAATACATGAGACACATTGCACTAGAGGCCAATCTGCACCAGTGGCTTCTACTTTATAAGGCAATATACATGGTTTTAGTGAGAGAAGAGTTTGTGTCTTGTAATAAGTGTGTACAAACTATAAGGCAATATACATGGTTTTAGTGAGAGAAGAGTTTGTGTCTTGTAATAAGTGTGTACAAACTATAAGGCAATATACATGGTTTTAGTGAGAGAAGAGTTTGTGTCTTGTAATAAGTGTGTACAAACTATAAGGCAATATACATGGTTTTAGTGAGAGAAGAGTTTGTGCCTTGTAATAAGTGTGTACAAACTATAAGGCAATATACATGGTTTTAGTGAGAGAAGAGTTTGTGCCTTGTAATAAGTGTGTACAAACTATAAGGCAATATACATGTTTTAGTGAAAGAAGAGTTTGTGCCTTGTAATAAGTGTGTACAAACTATAAGGCAATATACATGTTTTAGTGAAAGAAGAGTTTGTGCCTTGTAATAAGTGTGTACAAACTATAAGGCAATATACATGGTTTTAGTGAGAGAAGAGTTTGTGCCTTGTAATAAGTGTGTACAAACTATAAGGCAATATACATGGTTTTAGTGAGAGAAGAGTTTGTGCCTTGAAATAAGTGTGTACAAACTATAAGGCAATATACATGGTTTTAGTGAGAGAAGAGTTTGTGCCTTGTAATAAGTGGGTACAAACTATAAGGCAATATACATGTTTTAGTGAAAGAAGAGTTTGTGCCTTGTAATAAGTGTGTACAAACTATAAGGCAATATACATGGTTTTAGTGAGAGAAGAGTTTGTGCCTTGTAATAAGTGGGTACAAACTATAAGGCAATATACATGTTTTAGTGAAAGAAGAGTTTGTGCCTTGTAATAAGTGTGTACAAACTATAAGGCAATATACATGGTTTTAGTGAGAGAAGAGTTTGTGCCTTGTAATAAGTGTGTACAAACTATAAGGCAATATACATGGTTTTAGTGAGAGAAGAGTTTGTGCCTTGTAATAAGTGTGTACAAACTATAAGGCAATATACATGGTTTTAGTGAGAGAAGAGTTTGTGCCTTGTAATAAGTGTGTACAAACTATAAGGCAATATACATGGTTTTAGTGAGAGAAGAGTTTGTGCCTTGTAATAAGTGTGTACAAACTATAAGGCAATATACATGGTTTTAGTGAGAGAAGAGTTTGTGCCTTGTAATAAGTGGGTACAAACTATAAGGCAATATACATGGTTTTAGTGAGAGAAGAGTTTGTGCCTTGTAATAAGTGTGTACAAACTATAAGGCAATATACATGGTTTTAGTGAGAGAAGAGTTTGTGCCTTGTAATAAGTGGGTACAAACTATAAGGCAATATACATGGTTTTAGTGAGAGAAGAGTTTGTGCCTTGTAATAAGTGTGTACAAACTATAAGGCAATATACATGGTTTTAGTGAGAGAAGAGTTTGTGCCTTGTAATAAGTGGGTACAAACTATAAGGCAATATACATGGTTTTAGTGAAAGAAGAGTTTGTGCCTTGTAATAAGTGGGTACAAACTAAATGTTTGGACTAAATCATGAATAATCCCACACAAATGATTGGTCAACCAACAGAACTGACCAAATCATCTATCAAACACAAATGACTGAATCATACTCCAGAAATAGATTTTGAATAACTACTAGACTGTTCTAACACACGAAATATGTGGGGAAACCTCAGCTGAAATTGTATCCCTTTTGTCAACAACTCACATGAGAACAGCATGTGAGATGACAGCTTCAACATACAAACTTGGGTGAGACAACACACAAAGAAATGGAGGAAATCAATATGTAACAGTTGAGTATTAAATAAATCTCAGCTGGCTAATCTTGCGTTTATGTGTTTATGATGGCTTTCTAAACTACAATATCTCAAAGTTATCCCATTTTTCTCCATATTGCAGTTAAATTTAGAGACCAAGTAAATCAACTGTGTGTACAAACTGTGTGGTTCTTTAACTTGTTCAACCAAGCTATCAACTAATCTACCACTAACTGAACCAAGCTATCAACAAATCTACCACTCATGAGCCAAGCTATCAACAAATCTACCACTAACTGAACCAAGCTATCAACAAATCTACCACTAACTGAACCAAGCTATCAACAAATCTACCACTCATGAGCCAAGCTATCAACAAATCTACCACTAACTGAACCAAGCTATCAACAAATCTACCACTCATGAGCCAAGCTATCAACTAATCTACCACTAACTGAACCAAGCTATCAACAAATCTACCATTCAGTGAGCCAAGCTATCAACAAATCCACCACTCATGAGCCAAGCTATCAACAAATCTACCACTCATGAGCCAAGCTATCAACAAATCTACCATTCAGTGAGCCAAGCTATCAACAAATCTACCACTCATGAGCCAAGCTATCAACAAATCTACCACTCATGAGCCAAGCTATCAACAAATCTACCATTCAGTGAGCCAAGCTATCAACAAATCTACCACTCATGAGCCAAGCTATCAACAAATCTACCACTCATGAGCCAAGCTATCAACAAATCTACCACTCATGAGCCAAGCTATCAACAAATCTACCACTCATGAGCCAAGCTATCAACAAATCTACCATTCAGTGAGCCAAGCTATCAACAAATCTACCACTCATGAGCCAAGCTATCAACAAATCTACCACTCATGAGCCAAGCTATCAACAAATCTACCATTCAGTGAGCCAAGCTATCAACAAATCTACCACTCATGAGCCAAGCTATCAACAAATCTACCACTAACTGAGCCAAGCTATCAACAAATCTACCACTCATGAGCCAAGCTATCAACAAATCTACCACTAACTGAGCCAAGCTATCAACAAATCTACCACTCATGAGCCAAGCTATCAACTAATCTACCACTAACTGAGCCAAGCTATCAACAAATCTACCACTAACTGAGCCAAGCTATCAACAAATCTACCATTCAGTGAGCCAAGCTATCAACAAATCTACCACTAACTGAGCCAAGCTATCAACAAATCTACCACTAACTGAGCCAAGCTATCAACAAATCTACCACTCATGAGCCAAGCTATCAACTAATCTACCACTAACTGAGCCAAGCTATCAACAAATCTACCATTCAGTGAGCCAAGCTATCAACAAATCTACCATTCAGTGAGCCAAGCTATCAACAAATCTACCACTCACGAGCCAAGCTATCAACAAATCTACCACTCATGAGCCAAGCTATCAATAAATCTACCACTCATGAGCCAAGCTATCAACAAATCTACCACTAACTGAGCCAAGCTATCAACAAATCTACCACTCATGAGCCAAGCTATCAACTAATCTACCACTAACTGAGCCAAGCTATCAACAAATCTACCACTAACTGAGCCAAGCTATCAACAAATCTACCACTCATGAGCCAAGCTATCAACTAATCTACCACTAACTGAGCCAAGCTATCAACAAATCTACCACTAACTGAGCCAAGCTATCAACTAATCTACCACTAACTGAGCCAAGCTATCAACAAATCTACCACTAACTGAGCCAAGCTATCAACAAATCTACCACTAACTGAGCCAAGCTATCAACAAATCTACCACTCATGAGCCAAGCTATCAACTAATCTACCACTAACTGAGCCAAGCTATCAACAAATCTACCATTCAGTGAGCCAAGCTATCAACAAATCTACCATTCAGTGAGCCAAGCTATCAACAAATCTACCACTCACGAGCCAAGCTATCAACAAATCTACCACTCATGAGCCAAGCTATCAATAAATCTACCACTCATGAGCCAAGCTATCAACAAATCTACCACTAACTGAGCCAAGCTATCAACAAATCTACCACTAACTGAGCCAAGCTATCAACAAATCTACCACTCATAAGCCAAGCTATCAACAAATCTACCACTCATGAGCCAAGCTATCAACAAATCTACCACTCATGAGCCAAGCTATCAACAAATCTAGCACTAACTGAGCCAAGCTATCAACAAATCTACCACTCAGTGAGCCAAGCTATCAACAAATCTACCACTCATGAGCCAAGCTATCAACAACTTTACTTACTTAAATATAAGCTTATAGACTTAGTACCAGAATGTGAGAAATGGCAGTAATAACACTTTATTTACACACAATTTACAACATCTAAAAAAACATTTGATAAGACTAACTAGAGAAATAAACCGGGAGTGATCTCCTCTAAACTTTCTCGAATAATCTTATATAACAGGGGATGGGAACTCGGGCTATAGACATAATTTTTTATACATTTTAAATACTTAAAGTTTTAAAAATAGAATAAAATCTCGTAGACAAAAGAATTGCACACCAAGTGAACGCCAAACAAAAAAGTGCATACTAGTGCGCAATATTATTAGTACTTTAAAAATTTACATTAGTTTTTTGAGAAATCGGAAGTAGCGGAAATTATCACTTCCGGTCAACGGAAATTACTCAAAATTTAACAGAAGGTAGAAAATTAGATCTTTTACTCACATCTGAAACTTCATTTATCTATCTGAAATAGTACTCAAGTTATAGGCTTTTGAAAAATTCAAAGTAGAAAAAATACCACTTCCGGTTATCGGAAATCGCTCAAAAGTTGATACGGATCTACGATTTTGATAAAATACTTATATATGAAATTTCATCAACCTAGCTGTAACGGTACTCAAGTAATCGTGTTTACACACAGACACACACACAGACACACACACAGACATACGGACAGAA